CGTCACAGTGCACTGACCAATTAGATTGGCAGATTCCTGCTGAACAATATCACAGGAGGTTGTCATCTAAATTCTAGTGACTGATGAGAATATGGTACATCTACCGGTTACAGAGAACTTACAAAATAGTCGTTGTATTTGAATGTATTGGTTACAATATTTATGTTCATTATTATGGTATGTGTGGTGGAACATAAAGTACTTTAGGGTTCAAAATATGGTTTCTAATTGTCTACGTCGTTGACTCTGGTTCCTATTTCAGTAAATAAGAAGAGAAAGGAAATGACACATACAGCCGAACCACGAAACTCAAATCCACTGATATGCACTTTGCTGATTTGGTTATGGTACACATTAGATTGTTTTGAATGGGGGTTGGTAAGTGCAGAGAAAAAAACATCAACTTTACACTATTCTCATAGGAAAATACACTGAGAATTTGCATAGGCGAATTGACTAACTGCTTGCGTTTTGACTGAACAGTTGCCCTTTGAATCTTGGGCTACACCTTGTGACCACGTCCACTCTGGGTGAGCCTATATTGAAGTGGGGGACATGGAATGCTTTTAAGTAGCCTGGCACATCTCCGGGAATCTCCATTTCAAAGTTGATTTGCTGTATTACGCGAGTAGTGATAATGTAAATGAAGTTAACAATTACCAAATTGGTAGCCAAGTACAAACAAATTTCAAAAAAATGTGATTTTGTGTACAAGTAATAATAAGATGAATGTTATTACTGGTGGTTCAATGAAATTTACTATGTGAAGACACCTTGAATATGCCTTGAAACTAAATAAGGGGAAAAACAGCTTTTACAGCCAAACATTAGCCCAACAGCTAATTTGACCGCATTCATCATTTCTGCATGGGAAATCCCTGGCACATGAACACCTCAAGACGTGAAGAACATTGAACACTTTCCAACGAGTATTTGAGATCAAAATTGCCAACTGTAAGGATGTCAATGATTAGCTTCTGAAAATGTGATAATTGTCCTTTCACTGTTTTCATAATGGAGCTTAAAAGAAATGGTTTCACTCAATGACCGAAGTCGTTCTAATTTATTTGAACCCACCATCCTCTAAAATTTAATATTTATATTCCACTACATAAAATCATATGCCCCATACTGTAGTATAGATCTGGCCAGAGAGGGCGTGATCACAAGTCGGCTATCTCCAGCGAAATTCAAAAGCAACTGTTTAGACAAAACCCAAGCAGTTAGCCAATTTGCAAGTAAATTTGAAAATAGGCTGCTCCAATACTTCTGAGACTTGCTGTAAAATAGGACTTAATTTGACCATAGTCACACCTCACATAAGCGCATGTGTCACCAATAGACCCAATATGGTATCATATTCATGAGAGAAATTGCATAACTAAAATTGTTACTTCCATGCACAAACACATATATTTATTCTTTAATATTAAAAATTAGGTTTTATTCCATGATAAAAAAATTGTAAATCTAGTAAATATACAAAGATAGAAGATGCCATTTATAATATTATGCTAGATTAATTACAATAAATGTTTAACAGTACAGACACATACACGCATACATATATATACAAGAATCTACAGTATAGTGCGTTGTGCTGTATATTTACATCCACCATAAATTACAATATATGCAAATAAATTAAATGATTTATAGATTATGCTGGAGATCACTGAATGCCTTGCTAAACTTCTTGATTTTAGCTTCAGTCGTTTTTTTATTATTTTCCATCTCGATTAGTAACTGACGCATTTCATCTTCAACATCAAAAACCTGAGGTTAAAAAAACAAAAAATAAACAGTCTGGAATGAGTATTGGTATGCAAGAGACAGTTATTTACTGTGATTGGTCAATGATACATAGTAATTGTTGCACTGGACCAATGAACAACAGGTTCTCAATGCACAGACTCAATGCCACTGGCTGAGAATCATTCACTAATGAATGTAACTGTAGAGGAATCTTGGTTAAGGTTCATATATAAGCGGTTATGCTCAACCAGGCCTTGTTGATGCAAGGATAGATTAAATTATCATTATGGCTAATTTTGATAGGAGCATGGGTACAGCCCTGTCACATTGACTCAAACATTGCTTCTGTTACAAAATGTACATGTACAGTCATCAAGTCAGCCTTTGATTTTCTGTTCATTGCTAAGATCTTGCACATTGCATGTAAGGCGCAGACTGAACATCTGCTGCAAAAATCAAATGATTTGTCTTTTATATAGTGAAATTTTTTTATAACTCAATGTCGAAAGGCCAATCTTTGAAATGGGAATAACGTGTTTAGATACACTTACTTCATCAAAATTGACCATCATCAAATGTATGCAAATGTGTATAGCACACATAAAGCATGGAAATATTGGTATCCTCCAAAATACCCTACACGACAGTCACTACAATGCTAGGACATTTTTTAAATTTCATGCATAATGCAAATCTCGCAGTGAAAGGAAAATGGTCTATTTGCACATAAAAAAAAGTGAGGAGAAATAACACTGCCATTCAATGATGGGAAGTTTGTTTTTTTCATGACAGGTTGGTGGTAATAGCCATCATATTTCCACTGTTTTTAATTTTCATAGTTTGAAAATTTAAGAGCATTGAATTTTTGTTAACGCTCCTCTGACTTCATGTCTGCCGTTTACTGAAAATTGAGAATAGTGACACAACTAGATGTACAACCACGGTGAACTTTAACAACAAACTTGTTTCTTACTCTTTGATTTGCCTGATTTATTTCCTCCTGTTTTTCAATTTGGAGCTGTTCTATTTGATCTTTGTGGCTATGCTGGGCTGCTTCTAGCTGTTTACGGAATGCATCATCTATGGATCGAAGTCTCTCTGCAGCAGCCCTGTAGTGACAAAGAGATAAATATATTAACACACTGACAGTAGACTTGCATACAAAAAGTCGGGTTACTGTTTAACCTGACTTTATTTTATTGAAAAAACAACAACAAATAAACAATATGCAAGTCCACACTGACAGCTATAGACTGCCAATAGACCTTGCTTGCAAACAGCTTTCGAGAGCTCGCTGAAACCAAGAGTCAGGTGACTTGTTTTTGCCCCCAAATAGTGTTGCATCTCCTGCTGATATACATAACCATGGTATTTGGATCAGAAGATGTGATGACGGGGAGACTGGGGCACTATTTGAGGGGCAAAGCAAGCTGTGTCGTTCTCTCGCTCTCAACGAGATCTCAGCAGGCAATTGTACATGAGGTAGATTTCATAGCAAAACACATGTTCGGTAATCAGACAAGTAATAATATCATCCAAACATCTTACTGACTATCAACATTAAGCATGACATTTCTGTGGAAATAGTTGATAAAATTCCCATATTTTAAAATATCTAACATCCATGACGATAAATTTATAAAGTAAGCCACATGTCATGAGCGATTTAAATTTTCAACAAGTCATTGTCAATGACACGTCCCCGTTCCGTTCATATTTGAGTGACATATACATTCAAAGCAGATCATGACCGAAATGCACCTGCATATGTACAACACATTGTGCTAAATCTGAACAAAATCCATCCATGCATGACTGAGATCCGGTTCTGGAATTGTGAAAATATGTGATTTTGATGCATTTTCGGCCTTAAAATGGCCATCATTCCGCTATTGTTAAGCAGATCATGAAACAAATGCACATATCTATTTGTGACATGATGTACCATGTGTGTGTGAAGTTTGAACTTGATCAATCCAGACATGTCTTGGATACGGATCCAGAACTGAATTTTTTAACAAAATGGCCGCCAGTCGGCCATTTCGAACTTGATCCGAA